CCCTGCAGTGCTCTTGTGAGTGTTTCAGTATGCTTGTGCGTATATATATATGTAGTCGAATCAAATGTATTCATGAAAGCTCTTTTAACAGGCGGGTTTGTCACAAAGTGCTTTGATGAGAACAAAGGACACAAATTCAGATGAAACTATAGATAAACAAAAGAGAAAGAGTAGTGTGTGCGTGTGTATTTGTGTTCTTGATGGATGTGAGGTTTAGTTTTGAGTCAGAGGCAGCAGCAAAAGCCTAAGTCTGAGAGTGTGTGTAGGATGAGCCTCCTACCACGTCCCTCCCCGTCTCTCATCAACTGTCTCTCTCTATGCCTTCCCTTTATCACTCCCTTCTTTTACAAGCCAGCATGTCTTCTAAAATAGTTGATCAGGGGTATAGATGAATTATTTGACCACTCAATGATCAACAAATTTGTAATATTTCATGTTCAACATCAGACAGAAAGAAGCACACAATATATGGTATGTGTAGTCTGGTTCCTGGACAGTGGGGGGATTTATGTGAGTACACATATACATGTATATATGTATGTAGATATATATATATGTGTGTGTGTGTGTGTGTGTGTGTGTGTGTGCATGTATGCTTGTATCCCTCACGGTGATTAAAGCAAGTGGGCGGCAGCAGCAACTGGCCTGCCTGTGTGGCTCTGCATAGCAGACATGTTTCTCACTGCTAGATATTACTCATTTCCTCAGCTCTTTGCACACACACACACACTCTCTCCCTTGACACACACACACACATGCTCACATTCACAACAGACACGAAGACAGATAGCAGGCTCTCAGTTTTTTCCTGCAGTTTGGTGGGCTCGCTGGTGTTATTTCATGCGTTCAGAGATCAGAGGCAGGGTGTAGCTAGAGGCTGCAGGTGTTGTTGCCCGTGTGAGCGCTCAAAAAGAGCACCGTAGCACAGCAGGGAGCTGAGGAGAGGATTGACCCTTAGGGAGGACTAAACCATGAATGACTACCAACTCTGGGACGTCTCCTCGGCCCACACTAAGGTCAGTCTCACATCACATCACAACAGCTACAACTCCATCAACCTGACTGTCCGCTCCAACACTCTCTTTTAGAGTAAGAGATGCTTTTCATTCTGAGGTGCATTTAGCACTGGAGATAGTTTTAAGTGTAATTGATAGGGAAATAGGCAGAACTACTCAATGATATTCTGTGGTGTTTCCTCTCTTTTTCTGAGGTTCGCAGTTATGAGTATTGAAGTAAATTTGACACTTTGCCTGAAAGGCGCATGAAGAGAAAATAAAAAGGTGGGATGGTGTAAAGGAGATGAGACCTTTTAATCAAGGCAGACAACATTTTTTATTTATTTATTTGTGGAAATAGAATTACTTTTAAAATTCCAAATAGTTGAACAAAGAGAATTTGTCTTACCTACAGAATAGAAATATGCCTTAGGGAATATATCATCATAAGGAATGTGCAACATCCTGCTGCCTGTGTTCTGTCAGTTTAGATATGTAAAAATGCTACATAACAACAGCAGTACCTCCAGCTTGAACTCCAGCTCTATGTGCTTGCATGCATAGTGTAGGAGTATTCTGTAAGGAGACGTTTCTCTTCAGACTCCTCCACACGCATAATTGTGTTCTTTGTTTTGTTTTACTTTGCTGGCAAGTTTATGTCAGGTTTTGTTATTTTCAATTACTGTCAGAATGATGCGGGTCTCAAAGTCATCTGAGGACTCACACGATCCGGATTTTGTTTTTTTTGTTAAAAGAATTCTGGGGGCTCATTTGCTCGGTTACAGATATGTGAATTCAAAGTAAATCCGTTAAAACTGTTCAATCCTCTGTTTGACTAAGACTTTATTTGAAAAGCCAGTTCCCTGAAGCAATTTAAGTTTTAATAACATTCTTTGGTGATAAGTGTTTTTTTTTTTTTACATAAATTGGTTCTAATGATTATTGGAAATTAATGATTTACTTTTTTGTTTTTAAAAGGTCCTAGGACTTACATTTTTGTTGTGTTTAATTGGTATTGAAAATTATTCAGTTGTTTTTCTGTCTAACCAACAGAGATTTGACACCGGCTCTCAATGAATAAAGTACTGCTGGGTTTCTCTGTGCGATTGTTCCAATCAATCCTAATCTCTTCATGTCACAATTGTTGTTAAAAAAAAAAAAGAAAAAACCTAATGAAATGAATTAAGAGAAAAATATAGTGAGAGAAGTTGCTGTTTTTATTTTGTTTTTTTCAGGCGTTATGTAGCCCCAGTCCTTCGGCAGCCCTGACAAGGATAAAGCATGTATGAAAAATATCTGAATGAATGGAAGAATAAGAAATATTCTGTATGTATTCTTCCCCTTGACCTAAAATGTTGTTAAAAAAACCATAGGCAATATTGAAAGCCTGAAGTCTTCCAAGTAATGATTTAAGAGGCTTTGACCACTTTCTTCTTGGAAAGGTTTCCCATTCATTTTGACAGAACTGTTGTAGCTCAATGAGTGGTTGAGGGAGAGACCATCCGTTTATCAGCTCTCTCCGGAAAGCCTCTGCCAGAGTTATTGAAGATCTTTTCCCTAAGTGTCCCTGAAGTTATTCCGGAGTTTTCTTAGTGGTTTGCGCAAGGTTAGTACCTTGTTGGAATTCAGACCTTCACTCAAGTAGGAGCTATAAGCTACCAATGGAACAATTGCAGTGATTGCTACGTTTTCTGTATTCATCTTTCACCTTGATGTTCTTTTTTTTTTTACTCAATAAGCATCTCTATACAATGTTTCACTATATGGATGGTCTCAAGGAGTCACACCTAAATCACTTAACAAATGCCAAATTTCAGAATCGTTTGAGTTAGGCCTCTTTCAATCTGGAGTCTCTCAGGTTGCTTTTGACAAACACTCATCATGTTTTGTGTTTTTTTAATGGTTGACTGCCACTAATATAACTCCCACTGTAAAGTTTTCTAGTGACTGTTGAAGTGTTGGTAACCTTTCTGAGCAATACGCTTCGTCTATATATTATTCTGCCGGTTTAGTAGCCAGATTTTGAAATCGTGATAGGGGTTCACGTAATCTGTTTTAGGAAAATGGAAGATTCTGTGACTTTGATAACTTAACTATTATTATTTCCATTTTCAGATTTATGTTAACATTGTCCATACAAATATTCCGCTCTGACTTGCATTGTCATTTCTCAGACTTTAGATAGAGAGGTGAGCATCTAACCTAATTATTTCCAATTCAGCTATTTTACACAGATGGACTCCATTCAAACTGTAGATTTTCATTCTCCATCCTTACCAAGGATAAATAAAGAAATGAACTAACTTTTTTTTAACTATTTATCTTCGTCATATTGTCAAAACAAATTAAAGTACGAATAAAGATGGATAAAAGATAAAAGATTAGATTAAATGGAACTGATTATGCAGTAGATTTATGGTTCATCAACAGGACAATATGTAGTTTAAACTAAAAATGTTGCATACTGCATATTTAGCCGTCCTGTCAGTTTTTGAGAGAGTAAATTCCCCACTGTGACAAACACTTTTTTGTCAGCATCGCCACACAGATCCACAAACATCTTGCCAGTCTCAAGCGCTTTCATCAGTTCCTTGACCAAGTCAGTCAGTGAACAACAATGTCTTTCTGAATATCCCCGTTTACTGGATGTACACAAATTTGTGTTTAAGTGTGTGCACGTGTGTGTGCGGACCCAGTTGCCATGGTGACTGTGTAGCGGATGGCAGGGAGTTAGTGGCAGAGTGGTGCTGTGGTGTGGCGGCAGCTGGGGCCGCAATGATAGCAGAGGTGATATAGGGAACAGCTGGACTCGCGGCGCTGCAGCCCTTCAATTCCAGCCAGATTCTTCAAAACATTTTGAAAAGAATAAGAATAAGCTCCCCCGCACTTTTCACTGAATGAAATAAGGCCACAAGAATCTCTGACACATTCGAGCGCCCGAATACAAACACACACAAGGGCCTAAACAATTAAATGCATTCACATATTTCTCCCAGACAATGTTTAAAAAAAGAAACATGCTCAGACAAAAGACTGCATGGATGTCTGCACACGCGCACACGCTCACAGTTACACATTTTTCCCCCACACCCCTGCTGTGACACATAATTAATATGCAACAACACATTTCTTGTATCTACAACAACTGGTGGTAATATCAACAGTGTTTCTGTCAGCTTTTGGGTGGGTGATGACCAGCTTTGCCTATTACTGGGGGAGTGTGTCGATGCTTGAGGGAGCATTTGTTTGTTGCTGTCCAAGTGTTTGTCTGAAAGAGGAGAAGGGAGCGAGTGTTGGTAGTAAGCTTGTATAGAATACAAAGAGCACCCGAGGGTGTCATGGGGGTGGTTCATGAAAGTGGTACAAAAAAGCATATCTGCATATTCCAATCATCCCCCGAGAGTCAGAGATGAAAACTCTCCTGCTGTGAAGGATTGGCTAGTGTGTGTTGCATGCACATGTACACGCACGCACACACTGCACTGCCTCTGAACTTCATTGGCTGCAAAAAGTATTTTTAGCCCACATGTGGGAGTGATGTATTTGAATGAAACGAGTAAGTTGGCTAGTTTCAGTCCCACCGCACTCTGCATAGGTAATGACTAATTAGCAAAAGCTGTCATAAAGCTTAGAGGTTGTAACCTCTTTAAAGAAGTTTGGAAGCCGGAGTAAGTAGTTCTCTCAATCTGTTTGATACAGGGAAATGTTTGTTTGTATGTCTGAGCAAACTAACAGCCAAGCCTTAATTACAGCTAATGCAAGGGCCTAACAGACTGTTCTTTTCCAATGTTCACACCTAATTTCTCCGTCTTCTTTGTCTCGCTTCTCCCACTTTTCCATTTCTTAGGTGAGTGGTGCTTCAGTACGAAAGCATCAACAGTGATCCAACAGTTATGCTGTGTATCAGCCTTCCCCTCTGTCTCTGCCCCTCGTTTTCTCGTGAGGCCCATGTGACCTAGCCTGCACCCACAAACAGGGGGCCCCCACTGTTGCTGGAGCCCACCCATGAATCCCAGCCCTGAGCGTGGCAAAGAGTGCCTCCCTCCCAAGAAGAGGGAGTCTCGGCAAGGATCGGCAGAACCCTCCGTCCCTCTGGATGAGTTTAAACCTCCTGTGCCACTCCGGAGTCGCTTCATTGCCCAGAGAGGAGAGGGAGGCAGGGAGAGCAGCAGAGAGGTCAGCGACAGGGACAGAGTGCTTTCTAATCCAAACCCACACCTCATGCAGAGTCCGCCCCCACTTCCTGCTCCAGCACCGGGCCTCCCTGTGCCTCTACCATGGCCGCTGAGCTACTCTCCCTCCGTCCCTCTTCCCCTTTTCCCCGGGCAGGTCAGTGAGAGGCGGAGCTCAGGATCTCCAGGTTGGAGAGATGATCCTCTCGGATCACCCCTGCCACACCACTCCCGGTGGCTTAGAGGGGATGGTCCCCTGTCATTGCCACCCTCCCCATCCTCTTCCTCCTCTTCGTCCTTTAAAGCACCCTTCCCAGCCAGTTCGAGAGATATGTGGTCCTATATCAACAGCAGCCGGCGGGACTACAGCCCGTCTCTCTTCTCACCTTCATACTTGTTTAGCCCTCATTGTCTGTACCCACAAGACCCAGGCTTAGTGGAGATGAGGCACCGGTCCTTGAACAAAAGATCCAATGGCTTGGATGGGCCAGGCAGCAGGACTGCCTCAGCCTCCCGAGCTCTGCTCACGGGTGATTACGGGAATGATAGCAGCAGAACTCGACTGGACGTCGGCCTGCACAGCGCCCACGCCAACGGCGGACGGAGACAGCAGGAGGATCTTCCATCTCGTGCGCATTCTGGAGGGACATTTCTGTCAGACTCTCAAGCTCAGGAGGCCCCTGAGCTACATTCCTCACTGCAGGATAGGCATCTTCATGAGAAAACCGGCTCAATTTTACTCTCCACCAGCCCTCATCCCCTTGGACCAGACTCAAGGACTGGTAGAGCGGGGCATTTGGACCATCTGGGGGTCACTCCAGCTGAGGCTCAAATGTATTACTCTTTGGGATCAGTTTCTCACCCAAGTCCTCAGGCCCAGGCCTACCCACTTTACAGCTCCTCAGGATCACCTCCATACAATCTGCACAGGGAACCAGAATCCAGGCAGCACAATCTGGGAAACTCACCACAATCACCCCGTGGTCTGCCAAACAGCCATGACAGATCACATGGAGATCGGGACAGAGATCAAGATAGGGACAAGGTTCTACAAAGAGACAGGGGAAGAGGTAAGGACAAAGAGAAGCAACAAAAGGACAAAGACCAAGAAATAGACAGTGATCGTGAGAGGCGACGTGACAGAGGGAGAGATTTGTCTCCTTCTTGTCTTCCCTCCTCATCTCCAGCCCTTCGCCTCTCTCCCCCTCCGCTCCTACCTCACTTCACCAAGGGGTCTCTGATTGAGTTGGCCAGTGGGAGGTTGAAGCGAGTGGAAGAGCTGCAGACAGAGGACTTCCTCAGAAGTGCAGCTACATCCCCAGAGTTCCACCTCAGCACCTGCACTGTCCTGCTGATTTCCTCCAGCAGCACACAGGGCTTCAGCCACCTGCAGGTCCATCTGACGGACCGCAACACTCAGGTCAGCTTTCTTTTAAAATATAGGTGCGACATTTTTATACCAGAAAACGGCAAAAAAAAGGTCACTAAAGCCCAGCCCTTAACAATCCTGTGCTTTTCCTTAGGAGCTACTGAAGGTGTTGGTGGAGTACCCGTTCTTTGTGAAGGGCCATGGCTGGTCTTCTTGCTCTCCCCTGAGAACCACCCAGGTGTATGGCCTGCCTTGCCGCCAGCTCACTGAGGGCGATGTCTGCCTGGCCCTCACACCCACCCAAACCCACCGGACGCACACACGTACCAGCTCCAGAGCCCATCGCACACAACTCCTCTCAAGGTCTGCAGCGGAGTCCAGCAGCACGCAAAGGGAAGAGATGCCACCTCCACCTCCTCCTCCCCCTCTTCCTCACCAGCCACCTCCTCCAGCGCCAGCCCCTCCGTGCACCATAGCTGTGGAGCCTCCGGCTAAGGAGCAGCAGCGTCCACGCAAAAGGCGCTGGTCTGCACCGGACAGCCTTCCCTCAACCGGAACTGATGAAAGCCTCTTGGATTTACCTCATGGCTCCAAGCTAATGAAGTGGCAGTAGAAACTTGCACATGCATACTTAAACATACACATAAGCACATACACACCCTCCTTGTCTCTGTTGCATCTCACAATGACAAACAATGGAGAGACCTCAAGGCAGGGTTGCAGGGAAGGAATACAAAACAATAGAAAGCGCAATTTACAGGTGATCAGTCAAGGCCCTTGTCTAAGCCCTGCTGCACCTTTCCTTTCCTTTTCCCCCCTTTCCTTTCCCTGGCTTTCCTTTCCTCAACCTTCCTTAGCACAGCCCTGAAAGGAACAGCAGCTCAAGGATCTCTGAATGACTCCTTACAGACACACTGGAGATATTTAGTGAGACAATCAAGCACTTGTCTGTGTTCACTGTTTTTGTTATGATTGTCCCACACATCTACTTAATAAAAGTACTTGCTGCAGGGTATTTTCAATCAGTGTTATGAAAGTAAACGCTATTGACGAAGTGCAGATATATATGAACAAAAATTGACGATATATGTATTACATTACAGATGTTATATACAGTAAATATGCTAAACAGATTTAATGCAATCTCTGTCAATCTTGCAATGCATTTTTGTTTTTCCTCTTTTTTTTTTTAAATGCCTTGCTTCTGAGCCGATGTGTTCGTGTCGGCCTGGGCAGGCAAGGTGAATGTATGAGCAACTCTTCACCTTTTTTATTCTCGTCACTGGGAGTCAATTCAAAAAGTTGTTTGTCAAGGCATTACTCTCCAATCTGTTCTTAACATTATCTCTGAGAAAGGAAGAACACTAATGCGTAACAGACAATCCCACCCACACAGACAGGTCTGTGCCACATCGCCTAGACACTCATGGTGTTTTTCCATTAAAAACTGAATGATGGAAAGAGTAAAAAGTGCAGTATGGTTGAAGAGTAATGGTGCTAATAACACGTTGGAACATGATGCTTTGTGAATACTCTTGACCCCTGTGTACTGTACGCTTCTGTTCCCATCTCATTTTTTTATGTACTGTATATGTTTGAAGGCAGGGAAAATGATGAAAGTATTTTAAACTCAGATACGGGTATATCATCTGATTCAGCACTCTGTCTCACTTTATTTTATTTTTTTATTTTCAAAGAAACCTGTTGATTTTCTTTTTAAATGTTACAGCTACAAAAATGTATATTTTTAAAAAAAATTGTGAAACTGTTCTATGATGTTCGCTAGAAATAAAGAATGAAAAAGCTTTATAGATTTAATTACTGGCGTCCATTTATTCTCTGTGCTTTTTTAAATCACAGTAATTCAGGCAATCGTTTAACTAATGCCTATGTCCATTGGTTAGTATCAACATGACTTAATCAAGATCTTTGCACCGGAGTGATTCATTCTTAACTGTTTGCTAAACAGTACAAAAGAAGAAGAACATTTGCACATAACTTTTACCAAACACATATATATACATCTTTTGACAATATTCTGTTTACATTGATTACAAGGACGAAGTTAAGCTGCACTGATACAATACCCATGCCTTCCCAGGTGCAGGGATCTCTATCTTACAACACATTGCCTCTCTCTGCCTTCGAGGTAAGACTCAAATGCTTCCCTTCAGTTTCTTCCAAGCTGAACCTCTGTAATAGTTCCACAGCAAACAAAGGAACAACCTGGCCAATAGGAGAGAAATTAATACACAATCAGTAAGTTTATGAGGACCTCTACTGGCTGAAAATACTCCTGCGATGCAGGGATATTTACAATTCTGAGACTCTGACTTTGGTATAGAAAACAAAAAAGGTTAACATATTTGGCAATGTTCCATTCCAAAAGTCACAAGGACAAAAAACTTACAAAGCTGGCAGCATTTCAGAAATGTGCTTGGTAAGGAAAACTCAGGACAGAAAAGCAAACCCACTTTTCACATTGTAGAGGGAATATGGTTAAGCTTTCCTTCCTTTCCAATTCAGAAATGCTAAAAAATGTACATCTAAAAGAAAATATTTTTCAGCAAAAGCAATTCTTTTTTAGGCGTAATTTAATTCACCCGAGATCAGCTGTTCAGGAGCAGAAATGTCTGTCTGTTTATAATAACAATATACACACAAGGAGTGTAAGAATTACCACAATTCCCATCTTCCCATTTACCTGTGCTATGATCAGCTTCCTGGTTTTAGGTACATTGGGGTCTGGATACTCCTCTCCAAAGCAGAGCTCAATTTCATAAGAAGGTGTTGGCCCCTTCCCCTGTAAACAGTTCTGGAGCACTGCACAGATATGAAAGTATAGTCAGCTTAATCGAACACAAATTGTATTTCCTTGGAGCAATGTTGGATGTGAACTGAGTATGTGGGGTTTTACCATTGAGAAACGTGGCTGTATCGAGCAGTTTGAACGTCTTTTCTCGATCCAGTTTGTTTGGTTGGTCAGTGTTTTGCGCCATGGGACCACTCCAGAACACTCTGCCCTGGCAAAAGCGCTTGATAAAGACCCCATCTGGCGCCACCCATAATAACACCCCCCTTTCTAGGTGACATAGAAGACGATTCATTGCCTCTGCCATGCAGGACGGCAGACACACTGAGCTGGGGGAGGGGAAGGAGATCTGCTGGACGGAGCAGGGTCCATAGATTTGTTCATTTCCCAAAGGAACTCTGCCCTGTAGGATGAAGCACCCATCTGGGCTGGTGGTGGTCACTTTCATCACCATATGGCCATGATACAACAGCTTCACCTGCATACGAAGGTCTGTGAAGGGAAAATACAACTTAGCTTCTTAGTATTACAGGTAAAAGATCTTGTATGTTCCCTTTCTCTCGGTTTACTCAGTACAACACGTATGGTGTGGAACACCTCATGTTTCCTGGTTGAGGGCATTTCTAATCACGCATTCAAGGCAAATTATGTGTGATAATATGTGCAAGGCCTCACCTACACTGCTGTATATATACTATCATCATCACCGTCATTCTCCAGGTCTCTTCGTCTTGCTAAGAACACCTTTACTAATGTGAGTCTCGCCAGTTACTGCTAGTTAGCCATTTTCCCTCAGAAGGCTAAAGCCAACGGCAGTGCAGCTTTACGCCTCACAAAACGGACCAGCAAGAAGCAGGTGGTCCCTGGGGTTGGCTGAGACTTGTGTGGTGCATATCGGTCAGCCGCCCTTGGAGGAAGCGTGGCTTCCTGGTCCAGGGCCCCCCAATGGAAAGAGCGTCTTTTCGCAAAGTGGTGTCCACGGATGCCTCCCCAAGGGGGTCGGGAGCTCTGTGTAATGTCGAGGCGTTGAGGGGAGTCTGGATGCAGGCGCGGTCCAAACTTGGCATGGCATGCTGGAACGCTGAAATAATCAGTCCTCTGGCAGGCGAGGCCTTGGCAGCTCCCTATCCACCAGGATCTCCTCTCTCGAGCAGAAAGAGGAGATCCCGTAGCAGCTGCATGCTTACCTGTTAAGAGGTCTAAGGGCATACCCCTGCTGTCTTGGCAACAACCCAGAGTGCAAAAGCATCTTCAACTAGGGATGTATATGGCGGGCATTTGAGCAGTGGTGTCAGGACAACAATATTGTTCATTTTCAGTGCTCTTTCGTGGATATCTTGTTGTTTCTCCCAGAGCTCTTTGATAATGGTCTATCTTTTTCCACAATTAAAGCCTATTTAGCTCCCATTTCTCCCTGTAATGTTGGTTTCGATAGAGTAATGCAAGGCGCTCATCCTGTGGTCATGCATTATTTGAAAAGTGTCCATAGTCTAAGAGACTGTGAATAAATTGAACATTCCTTCATGGAATTTGACCTTAGAACTCGAGTCCCTTTCTGGCCATTTGTTTAAGCCACTCGAATAAATAGATATGAAATAGCTTTCATACAAGATTGGTGTATTTCTTGTTCTGATTTCTGAGAAACAAGTAGGAGACACTCATGCATTTTCTGTGCATCCCTCTTGCATTCAGTTTGCATGTGATGGGTCTAAACGGACTTTACATCCAAATCTGATTACAGAGTTCTTTGGTTTCTGCACCCCTCCTTTTGACTCTGATGACTGGAGGGCCGCTGCTATTGAACTGGAGAATTATAATGACAGTAAACAGGTGGGGCTGTGATTAGAGGTGTCCTCAGCCAGGACATGTGAGGGCAACATATCCCATACTATATGTGCTGTACAATGTTTCTCTCCTTCAGGGAACTGTAGTTTTAAATGAATCCTTCTTGTTTGCCTGATCCCAAGTTTTTTTTACCTGTTATTTCGAGTGTAGGGCTGAAGAAAGTTACAGGAGCTGCAGCCTGATTCTTTCCTGTTATGTCACAGTACGTGTGCTCCCTTATCAGGTCTTCTAAAGAGCAGGAGAAACAGTTAAACCAGCATATACAGATTATTCTTTGCGTATTGAGAAATGTGTTGCAATTGTTTTATTTAACAGTTATAGATCCAGAGCAAAGTAAACAGGTCATGCGGTATGTCTAACCAAAGATGGTGAATATATAAGTTAAACTAAAATCAATGTGGCCCATAGTTATGACTAAGCCAAGGATGACTGGAATTGGCACTCTTAAAGGCAAATAAATAGATTGCCTTGGGGTCTTTGGATTTTTCATGATCTCTTGAATATATATTGTTCTTAAATATTGGATAAGTGGTAAATCATTTACATAAATTGTTCATTTTTAAGGAAAATGTCAAGACAACTCTTTGTAAACTTGAAATTAAGAGAATGATCCTGATATGCCAGAACTGAAAGAAGTTTACTCCTGATGAGAACTTATGCAGAATCATTCTTTACAAAAATACATAACTCATAAAAAGAAAATTTAAATCATGTGCGGGTTGCTCAAGTGATTGCATGAATTGACAGTTTTTGTTTGTAACCCTTACCAGGCAGCTGCTTCACTTCCCTGCTTGTCAGGAGCATTTCCTTCTGACAAAGAAGCAGAAAAAAGAGAAACCAGAATTACAAGTTTACATCAGAAAGATCTGATTTAATGCTAAAAATTTCCACCACATTAGCCCCCTAAATATGGCAGAGCCAATTTGGAACTAAAACTGACTCATCTTTCTCTGCGTACTGTTTTTTTTTGGGGGGGCTATTATCTTTTTCCTGACATTCACATATATGAATTGAAACTTGTGCTACATTTTTTGTCATTTTACTGCACTTATTTCACCTGCTTGCCAGAGTCATTGGGGCTTCTGGGCTTCCCCTGTTTCACCACTTGATAGTTTTTCTGAAGATACTCTGTGAGGAGTGCAACAAAAGGCAAAATGTGAATATAAAAAATACACAGACAGATGAACTGCAAAATCTAAAAATAACAAAAAATAGAAAAAGCAAAAAGATCTCAGCTAAAGCAAATCATGATAAAGTCAAACTGATATTCTGTACGATTGTGTCTACTCTTACCTGCAGGCTTGCCAGGAACACTGTCATGCTGGATGCGGTACACTTTGTATGGCTCAGTGATGTCAAGCTGGTTGCGTTCAGGCACCTCCTGGAAATCTGTACTTTTGTTAAGTGCACAGCGGAGTCGGGTCTTCCACATGGTGGGGTCGGATTTATCTCTGCCTTCCCTGTATTTGCCCTTATACACAGCCCACGCCTGCAGATAAATTATGGAACATAACATGATCATTTCAAAGATGACTGAATGAACATGAAAAGGAAATGACTTACCTAATCACATGCAGTTGGTTTTAACACATCAACTGCATTATATTAAACATATTAGTTGGAATAGTTATGTTATTTAATGGTATTCAAAACTTGCATCTGAATAGCAAATAAGTCCCTGTGCGCAAAGTTTGTGCATAGACATTCATACTAATATTCAATAAATTTAATGCTAAAATTATGACAAAGTTTTGACGAGGTAAATCTCTGCTTTGATAGGAAATGTGTAAATACATCAACTACTGGCAATTTTCTTGCTCACATGAGCAGGTTTATTCATTTGGGAGTCTACTAAAGAAGGTTCACATACTCTACATATTAACTTTGATTTAAAACAATTTTTTATTCTCTGGCTTTTCAATGAGCTGCCATTTTTTACCCTGTCTGTATATCTTTTTTTTTCTCGTTTCAAATCTCAACACTGAAAAGTCTTTCTGATCTGAGTGATTGCATTATCTATTTTGGAATTGTACAGCTTGGGCCAAAGTCCTGAAGTGGGCATTATGGAACGCCGTACACTGGGACATGTAGAAGCAAAGAGAGAAAAGTCAGGAATGTCAACAATGTGTACAGGGAAGTGTAGTCCTAGTGTTTGAACTTGGACAGAACAACTCCACTAGATGTGGATTTAGAGCTTTATTACCTGTTAGATGTGCCTGCAGCTACACAAACTTTCAGAGTCAAGTGAAAACTCATAGACTCAGGGGGAGTTCAGGGGGAAAGAAAGTGTCGTTTTTGAACAATTTCTACAATACATGTGACTCGTGTAGTTTCCACTTATAATACCAAAAAATGGTAATTCCAACACTGGCTACCTAGTTCCTATTATTGTTAAATATAAGAGAGAAAGAGTCAACAGAATCAGGAATTCGAATACGCGCACGCAGAACTATCATAGTTTCATTAAGCCAACCCTCAATGACGCTCATTAGTTAATTCCTTGCCATTTCAAAGCATTTTCAGATATTTTTATAATGCACGTGGCGTGCTGTCAGAATGTGAAAAAGCAATAGTTCACCTTGAACAGAGCAGCATCTTCCGTCTGTTTGTAGTCCTTCTTGGCAGCGTGCTTCCAGGGAATCCTGAACATTGTTCTTTGCTCATCTTCCCAACAGAGCCCTTCATATTTCCCACTCTCTATCTGAGCTATCAGCCACTCTTTCAGGTGTAGCTTTGAGTCTTCTTCCATCTTTAGCACATGCTGTGTGTGACAGGAACACACTGCACTTTCAGATTTCACATGCGCCAGGCAGCGACAACTCCTTTGAATCCAAAAGAACAATTAGCGATGTCTCAGTCTTTTGCAGCTCAAGCTTCAGATATTGAGCACAAAGGACCTAACCCAATCGACAAATCGACGTTACACCAAGAGATTTCCCACTAAACTTGCAGAAGTCGCACTTAAAAATAAGTGCGCTCTTGGAAGCGAAAGCGAAAGTTTTCAACTAATTCAAAACTTTCGGTTTCCCTCTTTGTGTGAGGCTACTGAGAGTGTTTAATTATGTATAAATAAGATGATTTAGCAGTTAGATATACATATTTTTAAAAGAAAGCTACTATGCTAAAAAGAAAGACTACTTGACAAAATAAAAATAAATTATAAATAGTGATGTAATGATACTTTATTTTTGCTCATGAAGTCAGTTAGTAGTTCTCATCCTTCAAAATGTAAAAAAATAACTGCCGCATTGTTTTAATTGTGTTGGAGAGTTTCATTTGAAAATTGAAGCACAACAGAGTGCCTGGCCTTTAATTTTCTCCCCACATGAGTGTCAGCACAGAGCCACACGGAGTTTCACTTCGAGTCAAATCGAAATGTTCCTGTGAAAATGAAAGTATGTGGGTGAAAAGGTGTTCTCTTTCTCTTTATTTCCCAGATGGCTCTGGCCCTATATCTTTTTTTATTTGTCTGGAAGAGCATGCGTTTATACTGAGTGAGAAGTTATTTCTAACAAGCTGGCAATAAAACGCTGCGCTTAGAAACGCAAAATATTTTTAAAAACTTCCAGAAGAGGGCAGCAAAGAAAAGCGATGGAGGGCAGAAAATGTTTCAGATTAGTCATTGCCTGGTGGATTGAAACAGAAACTCTATTTTCGTTTAACTCCTGGCTTTACATATTTATGTAGAGGTACAGAACTAGATCCCTTGAAACAGTCTGTTATTTATACACACAGAAGAAGAAATATACTTCATTTCCCCAACACCCAACTCTGGCCTTCTCTCAACATTTGGGGTGTGCCCTGTGCCACTTTTCCAATGAAAGCTGGTAGCAATAAGCCCACACCCCTGCAGCCCTATGAGACAAGTTTGGAAAATTAAAGAAAATATTTAATCAAGCACTGGAAACACAGGCAGCTTCAACATCCGGACCAACAACGTAGGTAGGTAGTATGATTTTACTGATCTGTATATAACAGTCATTTATTCTGTAAAGTTAACAATAACATTAACATTGAATGGAAATGGGTTGGGGTGTGCAGTGGTGTAGCTGCTTGCACTGCCACATGACAGCAAAAGTGTTCCTGGTTTGAATACCGGATGGGGCCTTTCTGGGCTGGGGCCTTTCTGGAGTGAGTTGAGTGAGTGTGTGAGTCTGTGTAGTCATTTGTCTCTGCGTTGCCCTGTGACAAAATGACAACATGTACAAAGTGTACCCTGTGCGAGCCAGCCCCTAAGACCCAACATTTTTATTCACACCAGTAATTCAACATTGGAGTCTTAACCTTTTTACATCTTGTCCCTGTTATTCCTGCATTACAAAGCGGGCACCTTTATTTTTGATTACTGAAGATGATTAATAATTTCATGCCAAATTTGAGGATCTTGTGTTCCCTTTTAACCGTTTTCAAAATTGTTGCATGCATACTAGATGATTAGCATAATATGCAAGCCATTTTTGGTCCTCAGTGTTCTTAACAGCGAAATATCACGCATATATCTATTCCGATAGAAAGGAGCCCAGTTCCACCTCACAGAGATAAACTACAGACGCAGGCTGAAAAGTTTCTGCATGCTTTTGATTCTGAAATGGTTTGTGACAGATATGAGGTCAGAAGATAAAAGATGAAGCTGATATGCAAGCGAATGGTGGCGTGGGAACATCCAATAAAGTAAAGCGCCAGCATTCATCTTTCTCTAACTTGCTACTAGAAATCCGTTTTTGATGTAGACTAAATAACTTTGTTGCTTTTTCCCCCAGTTTATTGTCATACCAGTTCAGCAGTAAAAAATAGTTAATACATTGGAGCATACCGTCAAACAGCTTAGCCAGCTCTCAATAAATAGACCTTTTAAATATGACAGATTGTATTACAGCAGAGAAGTACAAACCTGAAAATGTCAAGCACGTAGAACACATACGGTGTAAAATCTTCATATGGCAAAACTCGCCTAATGCATCAGGCAGTGCTCATGTAAGAGTTCTTTTTTCTTTTTTTGTCTATTTCTTTTTGTTTTACTCTGTTTTTGTGTACTATCACAAGAAAGAATCAGGCAGCATTACAGGAAATAAGACACAAATCCAAGTGACATTCCAGTAAATAAATACACTTGTTTTGTTTGAAAAAAACATATTTACACAGTAATTTACACAGAGGGAACACACATTCAACCCATCCTACTTATCCTACTTACCCATCCTCATATTCATATGTGTAACAAACATAATGAAGTACAATGATAAGTCCAAAAAACAAAAGATTGCTGACTGGGAATGTATGATTATACAGTACAACCACGGTTTTAAATGTGTTTTGTACACAGTAGAAAGCACAAACATGTGTGTATGGGTGTGTGTGTGCATGTGTGCATTAATTTTTGCATGAAATCCCCCCAAAAATCAAACATCATCGTTTTCTCTCATGGCCTTCGAGGATGTATGTCCTTCTTATGAGTGTGTTACCCATTTGTGGACATATAAACCATGATTAGTGTTGTCAGGTAATGATATTTGCTTCCAGAAATGTCACCATATACAAGGAAAAATAGGATTTTTTTACTTGGGTATGAATCACCTGTTTGGATTGACAGAAAATGTCAAGACAACCTCACAATAACAGGGTTTACATCAAATCCACACACTCTTTATATGGGACTATTAGCATCTCATCACATATAAGTACTCTCCGCTTAGCTTGCATGTCCATGGCAATAAGCTGATAGTCTAGTGGCAGCCACAGGCACGGACCACCATGTTGCGGTATTTTTTGAGGATCACATTGGAGCTGTCATCAAAGTAGAGCACAGAGATAGCATGGAGCTGCGTGGGGGCACAACACGGTTTAGGCACTGTGTCTGGATTAGTGAAATGAACCTGGCAAGAGAAAAGAAAACGAGTGAAAATTGGATATTATATTATGTTATATGCGGTATATGAAATTTGTGGGCATGAACTCACAAGGGTTTGCACAATGGCGTGGTTTGTGGCGTTCATGTAGGAGTTCAGTGGGAAGGCACACTCTCCCTCACAGTAATATGCTGCATATCCTTCTGGAGCGATGATCCAGTCCTGAGAGAGAAGCAAAGACAGGGAGATTTAGGCTGGGAATAAACCTTTTTTTTCTTCTTTTTTTTTAAACTGAATTAGACTGAATATTTGCTAGTCCAACGATGGGCCTTCATAGAGCAAAATCTGCTTATGTAAAAGCTTTTTTCATTATAATCTATGAAAACTGGGCACTAATACTAATTATTAATCTTTGTGAAAAAGGAATGAAAAAATAACAATAATAAAAAATATAGCTGAGCAAAGGTTGGGTCTGGATAGAATTAGAGTACAGGGTTACATCCTGTCACTGCATATACTGTGACATGACAAAAAAAAGAAAGCATGGTAAACTTGGCATGGTAAAACAAAGTAGCTTTCATGGTAAACAGTATGCAGTGACACATGAAAATGCAAAATGCTTCCCAAAGACAGAACATGATCTAGTTTGCCATTCATTTGCTTCTTAATTGCACCGAGCTGGACATCAAAAAATGTCTTATCCTGATGGAGGAGAAGCATGGATTTTGCAGGTTAAGCAGTTGTGGCCAAGGATGGCAAAGGAAGACATCCGTACCTGCCATCCCAGGTCTCGGAAACTGACATAGAGCTCGTGCTTCTTACACGCCTGCTTCTGATCAGTGCTGCTGTTTTCTGAAGGAAAAAAGCAGAGAAAAATAGAAGGATTATGCTTTATTTCAATTGACTTTGGCTCTGAGAGTAACCATTTAGTGCAGTCAGTCCCTTGTTAAAGAGTAATGATAAAGAACGGGCCTACAGGCAGTAACTGTCAACCCATCAGGCATTATTGTTAGAAACAATGGCTGAAGGAAATCAACTCCAGATATAGCAGCATTTTCATAATAGTTTTATAGAAAAGGGCCACCCTGCATGGCGGTCACTCAGTTAGGCTTTGAGTTCCCACTGCCTGAAACAGATGTGCACACAATGCAGCTAAGCCTGGTTCATAACTCAAAACTTTATTCTTTTTCTCTCCTTTCCTCTCTTATTTATCTTCCATTTTTTTCCATGTGTGAAAAAAAGACATGTCTGGTTTCTATCCATCTTTCTCCTCTTCTTGAGACCACTGGAGCTCTGTGGTACATTAGCTCTTGAAAGCAGTTCACATTGGAAATGATCAAGAGGAACTGGTTCTCATCATCCAGTTAAAGACCACTGGTATCCAAAGTTCCAAACAGGCCCATTTGGCCCATGTGTCACAAGCCTGGTTGCCCCACAGCGCACGGCAGATGTGTTCTGCCATAAAAGCCCGGGCTGCCTTACGTCCATGCAGGGAACTTGGCCCCGACCGTTCTGTAAAGTTCGTGTAAATAAACAAAGGCAGCGGAGGGATATTTGAAGCTCAGCATTACAGTCTAACGTTTCAGTGCTTTATATAAACACAGCCCTCTCACACCTCCGTACCAAAGGCTTTCAATATGCATCACCCGCTTAGTCTTGCGGGAATTGTTGTATTTCCAGTGTCATGGTCGTGTACTTGTGAGTAATTGTGTGCAGTGTTTACCATGTGTGTCAGTGCCTTTACAATGAAAATGTGGAGAAATTCCTCATGTGTAATTACCAACCATCTGTGTCCTATTCTATGAATTCCTCAAAGTAAAAACAACAGACAGTGAACCATAGCTGAGCCCGTGTGTAGGGAATTTCTCCACAACACACATTTTCTGCAATCACCTGCAACATTGGCCATTCTGAGGGCCTCTTGGTTCTTTGCACCCCTGGATCTGTTTGGGTTGCGTTGTTTGGCTCCTCCGGATGCCGAGCGGATGCTGCGCAGGTGCACCTCGGTGGCTTTGAAAAAGGCCACCATGAAGGGCTGTTTATTCTGAGGCCCACTGCGACCAATCAGCCCGGCCACACGAGGATTGACACTGTCTCCTACGGGGACGGAGACACAGAAAACAGTACGGCAGGTGTCAGCACGTCCACAAAATCATAGCTTTATTCCAATGGCAGACATCTGAGAGGTTATGCTTTTCAAATCTATAAAAGTGAGGTTACTGATAAGTGCTTGTGTTCAGAGATAATTTCTTATGTATATTTGGTAATTTCCTTGCTGAAATAACTATTAATATTATCCACATCACTGCATTCTTTTTTGTAAATGAGGTTTCTAAAGTAAGTTTTTTTAAAAATCCCCTCTGACTTAAAAAATTCCAAGAACAAATAGAGCACTAAACATCAAAGCTTCTTGTCTTTGTCTGTGTGTGGGTGTGTTTGAGCACCAGCAAGCGCATGCAAGCCAGAAATGTCTAGCTTCTTCTGACAGAAAAATGTGCGTCTGATCACCGTTCTGCGGTAACCGTTCTTCAGGTCTCTGCTGGCGACAAGATGTCCCATGTGCTTGTCTGTACACGCTCCCCCATAAAGCCTCATACCCAATCCAACATACAATCACGCAGTCGTGACTACTTCTTCCACAGCACTCCCTTCTCACTTGAAAGCAATTCAGTATCTGTTTTCCTCACCTAACATGTAACATCCTGCCGTCCCGTGAAAGATAATATTCCCAACGCCCTCTCGCTCTGCTTGGTGTTTCTTGATAAAGTGTTCTACTGACAAACATTTTCGCCTCCAGATGAATACCTCCTGCAGAGATGTTATCCATGTGCTCGTGCAGTCTATTTACCACATGTCTGCTAATGATGCTGTGGGTATGACAGATGATGGGGGCGACGAGTGACTGGTGATGACTGATGGGAAGCAGGGTTTGATTTATCTTTTCTGTGTCCACACCAAGAAGAAATCATTTGGTTATTGGGTTTTTATTGCTTGGATTGTGCTATCACAGATACAGTTTTCTGGGGTTTTTATGTTTGAATAGAGTTGGAAAACCCTCCATCCTGATTATGTTAGTGCACATAAGACCCAGAACTGGAACTGATGAAGAAATAGTTTTGCCAGTGAAAACAGGATGTCTTCACAGAAATGTTCCAGGTTCTAGATTCCAGTTTGTTCCTTTTCACTCTGCATTCTTCTCAGCTGCGTTCCTCACTTACTTGCTTCTGTACAGTTTGCTTAGTTTTTCGCTGTTAGAATTTCTCTGCTTTTTTAGATCTGGTACCATTTTCCTTAGTATCCTTCAGTCATTGCAGGACTCTCATTGTCAGTGGTTCTATTTTTGCTCTTCACCTGTTCTTTTGAAACCATTTAGTTTCAACACCTTCCAGACATTTGTATGTAGTTTTTTTGTCTCTGTGTTATTACTTTAGTTTTTGGCTGAGCAACCCCACATTCATTAGATCAGTTTTAAGTTTTTTTAGTTTTACATTCATGTCTCCTTTTGGGAGTCTGTCTTAGGATGCTTCACAGTGTGTGTTGTAAGACAAGAACCTGACATATCCTGAATATGGGTTTAAAAAGCAAAGAAGCCATCATAAAATTAGATTAACGTTCAGGGAAATATACAATTGTGCAGGCATTTCTCTTTGTTACCTCTGGGGATATTTTTGGTTTTTAACCCGACCGTTTTTGTCTACATATATAGCCATGTAATCTATCTTCTAAATTCAAATCAGTCACCATGCAAGGCCTCTGGGCCACACAACATAACCATACCATTTCCCAGAGCACCAGAATGAATAAAACACATTTTGTAGTGTAAAAGTAACAAAGATGTAAACAAAAAATATTTAAATCATGAAACACCTATTAGAAATTATCAAGAGGAGTAAAACAATTCTACTGTTGTTCTTAGTATTATATCGTATTTTGCATCAGAGCATATAGGGAAACTTGCTCCTTTGTTCCAGCCTTGCAAATACTGTCATCATAAATTGGAGCCCTGTGAAAAGCCAAGTGGAGGGTTTTCATACTTTCTTTAGAAATGTTTAGCTAGTTCTAGAGTTCATTGGAAGCAAAGTGTCAAACATCACCAACTGTTTAATTCTATATTTGGCCTTATGAATAAGTTTAACCATGCTGTAGGACCTATTTGTGGTAAGGCAAGTTTGCAGTTTAACTAACTATAAAGTAATAGAGTCAAGCAAAAAAAGGTTGCATTCAATCAGTCAGTTGGATTTGGATCTACAGATTCATAAAAGGTGGTGATGTATTTTTGTTTCTTTGATTCAGGTTTATTTTTTTCTTTGAATCTGATGAATTCCATGACTTTTCAAAGAAATCTGAGAAGACATGTTCATCTAATATTCGTTAAAATTTCAGCTGGGTCAGACTGATGACACATTTCTCAACACTTTAACCAGATTGCATAGCATGTTGACACTATATATGTTATATATCTATTACTATCATTCATTTTCTTTTATTTCAAATCATCTCAACATTAATGACATGCAACTCTCTGACATTCAATTGATAACAAGGAATATATTAATGTCAATCCCTCCCACTATCCCTTACCATTTGTGCTCTCCAGAGCCAGCTGAAGACCCAGGTTTCTGCCGGGATTCAGGACCCAGTGGTTACTCGTGGCCGTCACATCAAACACCAACCACCCCTCCTCTGCAGCCCAGATCACCCTGGTGTCCAGCAGAAACAGGTCGGATTCCCTGAATGAAGCAGTGGAAAACACACTTTTCCTTAAGTATGAACTATAAAGAAAATAAATACACAAATGTGATCACTTAAAGTGACCAATTCAACCAGAAGCAGAATTGGGACAGAGCCTGAGTGGTGTGGCTAAGTGAAAAAGGGAAAGATGGAACAAGACATGCAGTGAAGGGGAGGTGGGGAGGGCTCCAGATGGTGAGTCCCAAGGGAACACTTCATTTTGTTAATTGACAATAATGGCTTTATAAATGAGCGGCCCTTTCATATGCTACACACAGTCCATCACAGGCTGGAATTCAGCGGGTGAGCCAGAAATCCAATGAATTAGAGAGGCAGAGAAAAAAAACACAGCTGTGAAAGAGGTAGAAACTGTGTCAAAAGAAATGAGTCAATGCCACAGCTCAACTGTGAACTCTGGGTTTTATACTATCTCACTAATGGAGGCTAAAATCCCTTGTTCTTTATGTGGCCATTCATGTATCCCGACCTATTTTCTGACTAAGCAGATAGTGTGTCACAGAGCTCTGGGTCATTCATGTACCCAAGCCTGTCCCCTGGCAAAGGAATAAATGAAAGTGTTTGTTCCATTTGGGCAACAGAAACCTTTGGGAGGGGCAGAAGGGAGTCGGACATGGGCTCTCCCAAAGTTAGATACACCTGCTGGAAAGAGATTTACATAAAGACAATGTGGCATAGTTTTATTCCACTCCAAGTTTCAATTACATGTAGGATGAGATTTTAAATAGAGTTTTTATTTATTTTTTTTCATTTATTTTCAAAATACAAAATAAAAATGAATTCTCTATTGGCTGGGAAAATGGTTCTAAAATCCCAAATGTTTCTAAATCCCAAAGTTATTTCTTCATTGGTTTAAAACTGACAACTCAAACATGTTCCATTATCAGCAAGTCTTTTTAATAATTCTGAAGCATATCACTACAAAAAAGAAATAAGGTATGAATCCAATGAAGATAATTGTAATAAACTAATAGTTTAGTAAAATCATTCAACTTTGAGACCTGCATTCAGGAACAACGGATTGTTATTTCTCTTCGAGGCAACTGAATGAAACAAGAAGTGCAAAAGCCAAAGAATGTCAAATGTTTTTGAAAAAAAATATTTTCTTCCAAATGACTATTATTTACAAGTCTGAGTGTAACATTTCGTGAGGGTTAATTCTTTATCTTCAAAGTGAGACTACAAATAAAGAATCTTCTTTTGAGTTGACTTTCTGGTTTTAAAAATTATGACTAAAACTTGGACGTTCAGTCATTCAACTCAAGAGTTCGACTATTTCTACGTGACGTCAACCTGCTCAGACCATAATTTTTCCTTACCCTACACAAAATGTTCATGGTTCCAAAACCTAAACCATTTATCTTTTTTCCACACTTTCACCATGGTAACACCCCAATACCAAGGACTACAGTGGCAGACGAAGCATCTAAGTGACAAGTCAGTTCCTATTGACACACTGATGGCATAAGTCTGAGCTCACCTGTCAGAGTGTTCCTCTAACACCTGGTAGACGCTGATACGGAAGGTCTCATTATCGTAACGCTCATGAATGAAGTCTTTATATATGCGAAACTCAGCAGCGGTGACCGCCTCACCCTCTGGGATTCGTGACAAGTCGAATCTGAACTCTCGATGATGTCGCCGCACTGGTAGGAATTCTTTATCGTGCTCCACTGCAAAAAAAAAAAAGAAAAAATTATAAAACAAAATCAATTATCTATCTGCAAACAGACCACATGTATGTAAAGAGCTTTTTCACTTGAACATTCTTCTACAAGGGGCGCTGCATGTCTGCAGGTGGACAAAGAGGGTTAATGTGAGCTCATATTTAGCTTAAAAGCTTTTTATGTGGTATTGAGTTGCAACCTCCAGAGAAACAAAACATATGCTTCTAAAGTAGGCTGAGAATAAATGTCTTTTTCTATTAGGTCCTTTTCTTCTGAGTTTATTCTTCCTGAACACTCCATTAAGTGCAGCTGTTAACAAGAAACTGATATAGCTTTGTCAGTCTCGGGGTCAGTTACACATTATACACATCTATAGATATAATGTGCAATACACATGTTGGGATTGTGACAGAAACATTCATGAAGACCAGCAGTAGAAACCCTGCATATGGCACACACTGAACCATGATAGAGAGATGCAGGCGGACTCAGACAGCTTTATGAGCCCTTTTCTTCCTTTTTTCTTCCTTTCCTGGCCCCGGAGAGACATCCAGTCTGCCCTTCATCTGGTTCTCATGAGTTGGGGACCAGGTTTGGTACCCCATTTCTATTCCCTCATCTTCCTTATCACCACATTCCTGTTTTGAAGTTCCTCTTATACCCCCCATCCCCTTGGCTTTGTACTTCTGTCGCGGCAGGACTTCCAAGAAGCAATACCTTGTATCATAGTTATCTTGGTTTAATTCCAGACCTGTTTAGTCTGTTTCTCTGTCTAACAGATAATAATTCAATCATTTTTTATTTCAATGCACTAAAATGTAGTCAAAGATCTTTCTGTGAGTTCACAAAAATGTTTCTTTTGTAGGTTTACATTAAATGACTTCATACACAAATTAACAACCTAGGTCCATATTTGTTGTTAAAGGCTGAGATCAGCTTGAGGGTTAACTTAACATTTTTACAATCCAATGCTTATTCTGCTGGATAAATGACCCTGAAGGTGAGTTAGTGAAAAGGTGTTTGGAGGCAGAGAAGTGGCGACATTTTGATCATTTCTGATGAAAAAGTTGACTCCCACATGACATCAGATAAACATCTAAAATCCTCAGGGCTGCACAAACATTTACATCTGTGATGTATAAACATCCGCACATGCATACATGAATAATGCAATTTTTTTTTATTTATTGATAATAGCTTCCCTGTTGTCTGCCAGCTGTGAGTAATACAGTACATCTGTAATGATATGACAAACAACTGGTGCAGTTGTGTTCCAGTGCAACCCCAACCCCCCTTACAGCTTTTTGTTTTTGCCTCTGAAGGACAAGGCACAAAGGCACCACTGTACGACATTTGGCAGAGCTGGAGAAAAAGAAAGGATCTGCAATCATTCCTCGTCCATAAGCAGAAATGCTTCTGTTGACACAGTCTAAATGCTATACATACCCAAAGATCTTCCATTAGAACTTGTCCTCAAAGTTAATGGTTTTTGGTTTTTGTGCAAAATCCAAGAAGAATTTAACTTTTTTTTTCCCCTCTGAAAATTCTTATTTAAAAAAAAAATACTGATTTACTGAATTATTATCTACCTTACCAAGCCTGGACAGAAAATATGGTATTTAAGGCAGGTCAGGAACCGCTTTTGTTGGAATTAAGCCATGAAGCTTTAGGGTGGACTTTGAAGTTTCCAAATCCGCAGACTTGTAAACGCAAAACGTTGATACCACACAGTAAAAAAAATACATATATCCTCTGCACACAAAGTTTGTTTGTTTTTTTACATCTGGTTATTTCACATGGTCATCACATTGACTCGGTTTATTCCTCTTTCATACTTTTCAGCTCCAAGACTCCAAAACCTGCTGACTTTTAATCTGCTTGGGAGACCTCTACCTCCTCCTGTCACCCAGTGCAGGTGCACTCCGTCTGGGGGAAAGTCAGACCTGTTCTCAAGCCTCCAGCGCAGCCGCCCACCCCTTTCCTGTTAAACCTTTTTATCTTTACTTATAAGAGCAGCTGGAGGGCTGCTATAAAACTCACACAGTAACTCTCTCATTTCCACTCTTTAAAGCATGAATTTTATTTGTACAATTTTAGAGAAAACAGAGCAGCCTCGAGAGTTTAGCTTTGGCCTCCTTACATAATTCTGCCTTTGTTTCTCTGCTTTATTCTATTACATGCCATTAAAGCAGTATGGCAGTCATTAGATGAGTGGAAGACTTACAGTTAAAACCAAATGGATGCATTTATGATTTCCTGTGGGAGGAAGTGAGTACACATCACCCACCTGTGTCGCACACACTATAAACACAGCAAACATACCCTGTAATGCCACACGAGCCCTTAATTCTGAGAAGTCGACATCCAAAGAAGCTGCGCACGTCCAGCCCCCACATACACACACACACACACACACACCACAACACACCACAGATCCAAATATCACAGTACAGATTCTTAAGAGTCCTGTGCGTCACAGCACACTAACACAATCATTATAGGTTTCTAGAATTCATGATTAGAGATGCGGCTGAGCACAAAAGCAAGGACACAAACATTCTGGCGGGTTACGGAAGAGAAGAGCTATGGTTAAGAGTTTGACCTGGGATTTTAATTGCCCCTCTCAATGTTCTAAACTTTCAAGATGTCTTGTTTCTTCTCATTTTCTCAGTTGAAAATCATTGTGCATGTAGGTACGGCTGATTTCCCTAAGACAATTTAAAGTGACTTCAATGGTGATTGTGTCAGATGAAACAGCAGTTGTAAGATCTGGATTTGTGAAGACTAGTGTTAATCAAGCAAAAGCATCAACTCATATTCTTTATAGGCTGCTTTCCAGTAAAAACTAACCAGCTGACAGAAAAATCAGAAGAATATTTGAGAGTGAGTGCAACTTTGGGGATGCTGACTTCAGTAACGTTCACTTCCACGTTATTGCTTGCTTAAAAAATCCAGAAAGGTGTAACTTGGAACGTATACACGTGTTTCTTTTTTGACAGTCATTTTCAAGTGTATTTCAAATCTTAAATTTTAACACAATAGTTAGTCAGTTTTCTAGAGTCATGCAAAGGTTTGCAGTTTAATCTACTCTGAGGCCCCACTTAAACTAAATGTAGCTGATATAAACTTTATAGCTTTGAACTATAAAATGCAAAAAGTTTTTTAAGGCCTTATTTAGCGTGTTTCATGTCATTGTAACACATGGGGTACCAACACCACACAATGTGGTGTCTGGAAATCATATTTATCTCAGTTATGTGAGACAAGGGCGCTTGACTTTGTCAATAAATGACAATAATAAGTGTATTCACCACCACAAGTGAACATACAAGGTGCTGGGAAGTTTAACAGAATCAATGAAATACCCATCTAATGCTGTGGAGATGTCTTGAGGTGTACTAATTGACACATCTTTCATAAATATTAACCTAAAATATTGTGTTGAACATATAGTACATATATAGTTATTTCAATTGCATTTAAGGATTTAGCCTTTATTATTCTGCTCGCATGTTGTTCATCCTACACTTAATGCTCAGCACTATTCTTTTTTCTCCGCCTCTTCTACCTCTCTCCCGCTGGCCTGTGGACCTAAGACACTTCTACGACACCTCAGGCTTCGGAGCGGCAGCGGACAGATCTGACGGCTCACATTAGCCCAAGTGTCTGTTCCGCACCCTCACACCCCTCAGTCTTGCCTTGAACACTTCCGCTGCTCGGCAGGGGGGGATCTCACCCCTGGCACCACTCTCACTTCTCTCAACTGACGACTTAAGCTTCACCCCCTCCCGCCCCTTGAACCAGCCCTTGATATCCGCGCCTCCCTCTCCATCCCTACAGAGCTCATTACCTCTGATAGCACACCTGGTACCCAAAAACACAAAGTGGTAGTCAAACAAAGTAGAGTCAGGTCATTTCATGGCATGAACGTACAACGGATGAAAAAAAGCTAATCATATAATGAGATATGTGTCATGATTGTATTAAATAAGCACCATCAGGATCATTACCTGATGTTGTTTCTCAACAACTCCTATTCCAGTGTTTTAAGCTTTTCTTTTTTTTTTGGGCTGTTTTTGGAGCATGTCACATTTTCCAACAGCTATAAAGAGGACTAGTAAAGAAAAGCACAGTGAAAGGAAAGGGCAAATCATTCAAGATGTTTATCCTATAAAGAGAAAAGACAGTTTGATCTCTTGGGTCCCAGTGACTTCCCACAGTGGGGTGATTATCACATTAGGAGACATCCTGGCCACTAGCATGTACTGATGACATCATCCTTTCATGATGTATTTCAGTGGCTCCCAAGGAAAGGGTCAACAGAGTTTCATACTATAACTTTCTCACACTTAGCAATCATTAAGTTGCCACGGCCTGCAGAGTGTGTGTGGCTCTGAGCAGCTCTGAATATATGCCTCTGGGCCTGTGTGCCGGCAGAAGTAACCACATCATGTAAAGTCTTTACATTGAAGACTTGTGGTCAGACCTAACTTTTTTGAGCTTCCTAGTTTAATAGCTATCAAGAGGTTTGAATATACTCTCAGTAGCCTCGCTGACCTCTTTCTCTCGAATCTCAATGCAGCCATCAAACATGCTTGCCCTCTGCACACATACACTCCTGTGCTTGGCTCCACCTCATGCCTCACTGGGCAGCATGGACTACAGATGTATTCAGGATATATAAAAAGTTTGGAGCTGCAAGCGAGGCCTCATCATGAAAAATCTCTCAGGTGCTCTTCGTCTCACTTACTTCGACTGGTTTATAGTCATGCATGACCTTTTGCTATAAATCAATGGTCTAACATTCCAGTGGAAGCCCTTATTCACTCTCTGGTGGATGGCACAATGATGAGATCAAAACCACTCAATAATATCTGACTCTGTAAAGCTAACAAAACCTTTCATTGTTACCAGTTTTATTAATATCCAATAAATTCTAAATGGTAAAAAAAAAAATACTTAGCAGAGGTGTCTGTGTCAAACTCTTTCTCTCTACCCAAACATGT